CCCTGCAGAACCTTACTAAAACTAAAAGCTCTTACTAAAATTTTATTTGGACATGATAGTACCAAAGAGTTGTTGTGGGTGGTTGGTGGGTGCTCTGGTGTGGTTTGCTCCTTCTTTCCTATCAAACATCTATCGTCCTTATCTCCCCTTCTTCTTTTTTATGTTTGTTACTCTCTTGTAACACCTCTAATCTTGTGGTGCTCAAATGACCTTATGCAGTTGCGAGGGCTGTACAACCTCTATTTAAACAAAAAAACTTCTCCTATAGGTAGGGCAATGCCCACTTTTGGTGTAGCTCAAGATTTCTGGAAACCGCCGAAATCTGGATTGGCCCGCTTGTCTTTCAAAGCGACCGTTTTAGTCTCGTTTTGTCGTACCCCCCCCACCCCCCCAGGTGAACAGTGTATTTGGCGGTGTGTGTGACCTGAACGTCTGTCTCAGCATGTGGGACGTCATCTTTCAACACGCCGACCCCTTCCTACAGCTCTTTATGGCGCTCGTCATTCTGGTCAACGCCAGGTAAGTCACCCCTCTGTGCTGCGCGGTTTATCTGGCACGCGCTTTATGTGGCGTCGCTGGCCTAGTGGCGAAACAATTGATAACAAACTTGACTGGCATCCCCACGCTGCTCTTGTGCATAAAAAAGGAAATCAAAGAATGTTTCTTTTAAGGAAATTAAAAAGTTTCCGTGTTGACAATAAGATTATGTCCCTTTTTTACCATTCTATGATTGAAAGTGTGCTATTATTTTGTATTTGCTGCTGGGGTGGGAATTGTAAGGTGAAAGATAAAGAACAATTTTACAGAACCATTAAGAAAGCCAGCAAGATCTCTGGATATGATTTTATTAGAATTGATGAAATGTATAACACCACACGTCTAAAAAAGATAACAAGCATTATAAACGAACCATCGCACCCCCTTTCCACGTAAATTGTCAGATCACGCAGCGGCAGATATGTACCTCTAAAAACAAAGGAAGTATGAAACAGTACGAGGCATGCTAGATGAAAAATAAAAAGTAGCATTTGTTAAAAATCTGCCAGTTTGAGATCTTTGAATTTTCGGCGGATAGTTCCTGTGGCAGATTGCAAGAAAATAAAGCATTTCATCAGCACTCCTCACCTTTATTGTTTTTTTGGGTTTTTTTAAAACTTCTGAGCTAAAAAATAAACGGCGTGCATCAAAATTGCTGATATCTGTTTCCGGTCTGTGGCTCTGTGATGACTATGTCAGGACTATTTCTCATCACTCTCTTCATGGGTGGTTGGCGGAGCTCTGGTGTGGTTTGCTCCTTCTTTCCTATCAAACATCTATCGTCCTTATCTCTCCTCCTTCTTTTTTGGGTTTGTTACTCTCTTGTAACACCTCTAATCTTCGGCACTTATATGACCTTATTGTGTTGCAAGTGCCGTAAAAATCTTACCAAGCTAAACTTACCGTCTTCCTTCCTTCCTTCCTTCCTTCGTTTGTTTCAGAGACACAATTCTGGAGAGTAAAGATCAAACCAAAGAGGAAATCATCGGTATGTTTGTGCGTGTTTGTTGTGTGTGTATGTGTGTGTGTGTGTGTGTTTGTTGTTTGTGTGTGTATGTGTGTGTGTGTGTTTGTTGTTTGTGTGTGTATGTGTGTGTGTGTGTTTGTTGTTTGTGTGTGTATGTGTGTGTGTGTG